AATAAATCACCCCAATTCATTATATGATGTGTATATAAAGGCAACTACTACTATAACCAAGATTTTGTGGTGATTTTGTCAATTATCAAGAATATATACTTAATTGGAAAAGCTTGGTTGTATAATTGTGATAAAATGTTAATCATGAAACTAGCAACCATCGTTAATTTGTATATTCTAAGGCTTAAAAATAATATTGAACTAGTATTCTACTATGTGCATTTGCACAGATGTAAATAAATATTAGAAGTTATTAGTATTTAAAATTATAAGTTAGATAATAATATTGTGTTTTAAACATAAAATATATAAGTTATATTTTACATATAATATTAAAATTATAAGTTAGATAATAGTTTAGTCACACCATGCATACACCAAACTTGAGATGCCACAAACTTATCATTCAAATTCAATTGCAAACCGAAACAAAAGAAGTGTCCACAAAACTTGTTATTTTAGTACACAAAATATAGGAAGGGATGCATAAATATTGTTGCTCAATACTACTGTAGTCAACAAAAAATTAAAATCTATTGTTGACGCCACTAATAGCTTCCATATGTGTGCCTCAGTTGAGCGAAGCAACTTTGAAGTAGTTGGTGGATTTCAAGCTCTCAACAGTCTCTTTGAGCCCTTGGTCAACCGGAATAAAGTCAATTCCCAGAGATTTTGCCCTTTCCTTTGAGACTAAATACTTTGTCGCAAATGGCTTGTCATCCGCACACCTGTTTAATTTTCACCCCCAAAATCAAATTTCAAAAAGTTTATAATATAAATCAATAGAATAACTAAAAGACCTTACTTGATTTTAAGTTGCAGAGTAAATTATTTTAAAATTTTCAATTCTCCGAGATATTATTTTAAGTTGCAGTTTTTTTTTTAATAAAAATATGTACTTACTTGGTAGGAATAGGAAGTTCAGGATAGATTTCACGCATGATCTCGACAATTTCCGAGTAGTGTGCGACTCTCTCCACAGTAAGATACCTTCCATTGGCAGAATGATTCTCAAAAGCAAGAATATGTGCTAAGGCAACATCTTTCACATTCACCCACCCATAACTGGAATTTGGGTATGTCTCAGCACCTATGTGAATATTCCAAATTTAGTATTTTTAAACAATTGCATCACAACTCTTATAGNAAAAAAAAAAAAAAAAAATGTTTGTTCAATGGACAAAATCACTCACCATTTGCGAGGTTGAGAATAGCTTCACAACTTGTGTTGAGGGTAGGCTGCAAAAGAGGACCAATCACCATAGGTGGGCATATCGTCACCAAATCGATACCTCTCTCTTTCACAAACTTCCACGCAGCCTCCTCGGCCACCGTCTTTGAAAGCACGTACCATTTCTGATACAAATTCAAATATATACATATAAATAAAAATATACATTTTTTGGAAAATAGAAATTTAAGTATAATTACCTTGGCCTTTTTGCACCACTCGGGGTCGGACCACCAAGTTTCATTAATAACAGTTTCAGGGCCGCGAG